ATTTTAAGATTTGTTTCGAAATCCTCCCCACATGATACCTGCCAGACACGTTTTCTGGCGTGTCCTGTCTCTGGCGAACCCTCTGACTGACTGACTGACAGGGACTCTGCTGCACAGTCACTGGTGCACAAGATCTTGAGCTTTCACTGCGACTGTGTACAATAAAATCCCCTTGTGCTATCAGCCGCGTCAAGTGGTTAAAACATGAAGAGACCACCGTTTCGAGGTCCATCTCTATCCTCATCCTCAGGGTACTGAAGTGGTTGGGGCTAAACCAACCAAAAAGCTAACTAAGGGCGGAGGCATCGTCCCTTCCTAAGTAACACCATTCCTGCGTATGAAACGCATTGCTGGAAATGGTAAACAGAGCCTTAAAATGGAAACAGGAATTTTGCTAATAGTTGGGGCTCTCAACCATGTCATATATACAGGATGAGTCAGAAGTATGTTTACAAACTTCATGTGCATGTTCCAGGATTAAAAATAAGAAAAAATGTTCCTATGAACATGGGGTTGCAAATGTTTCATTTTCGAAATCATAGCCAAAAATAAGTTTCAATGAATTGACTTTATATCAAAGAGAATCCAGCAAAGATTTCCAATTAATGTTTGGGCAGGAAATGTTGGCGACATGCTCACTGGTCCACACATGGTTCCATCGTGTCCAAGAGGACCTTCATATCAGTGATTCTTCAGAAGACACTTGCCACGTCTCTTTGAAGATGTACCACTGAATGCAAGACAGAGCCCCAGCACACTTCTCCCATTGCATCAGAGATCATCTCAATGAACAGTACTCTCAGCGATGGGTTGGGAATGGTGGTCCAGTTGCATGGCCACCGAGGTCATTGGACCTGACTCCATTGGACTTTTATCTGTGGGGTCACTTGAAGTCCGTCGTTTATGCAACACCCACAAACGGGAACGTGCTCAGAATGCATGCCAGACGATCCGAGGAAACCCTGGTGTGTATGAACGAATACGTTAGTCTTGTGCACATCATGCTCGGGCATGTGTGGAGAACGGAGGAGCAACCTTTGAGCACCTGTTTTTAAGAAACATCCCTGACCTTGTACTTGGCAATAAAGACATACATTAAAACTTATTTTAGTCTATTATTTTTAAAATGAAGCATTTAAGACCACATGTTCATAGTAAATTTTTTTTTCTCATTTTGGATCCAGAAACACACACACACAAAGTTTGTAAACACACTTCTGACTCATCCTGTATTATTATATTATAAAGTAAAATTAAAGTTGTCCATGTAGGCACTTGGGGGGTGGGGTAGTACAGCTCCTACTCATTCTTAACCTCGACACTATATGGGCCTCGAGAAGTCAGCGTCATGCTCCGCCCACACGGGGACTTTTCTGGCTGCTGAGTTTCCTCTCTGGCCCAGTCCAGCCCTCGTTAACCAACCTAACCACCCCGGGCTCCCCCAGGGTGTCCATATTGATACCGAGCTTCAGCGCGGGCGCCCAATCAAAGTGGCATAGAGCAAAACCAGATCTCCAAGCCATACGTCATTACCAGCACGTCGGAGCCCCAGCCCTGGTTTTCAGCTTCGTAGTGGGCAGTTTCTTTATGACAGCAGGGCGCCGAAAGTGCATGTACTCAGAGACGCAGAGAGCCACGACCGAGAAGACCCCAAAAAAAATTACAAATCAATGTGCTTGTGGTACCTCACCCAACCAGAATGCAAGCCTCAACTGGTGTTACAATGGGCATATTTAATAACATACAGAATGGTATTCTGCATAAACAAGAAACAAGAATGTAACTTCATAAAAACAATGTGACAACTTTTCACAGATATCTGAGTGCCCTCATATAGCATTTATACAGCTGAAATGAAAAGTACTTTAACATAATAACCATCTTTGAACATACAAAATCTGTTGCACAAACATTTCCCTTTGAAATTTTTACTTCTCACTTGGAGCAAATTAACACATACACCAAAGGGTTTAATGGTTTGCGTCTAGAAGACATTATGAATACAGTACTTAATTTTATCTTCATCCCTTTATCCCTTCATATTACACCAAACCTCTTCTCTTCACGTGAGGCTGGAATTTTCTTAGCAAGGGCAAGGGGATTCATTTCCACTCCAATGAGTTTATCCCCTGTCAGCCAATCCAAATGAACAGGATCCTTATCTTTTCTTGATTACAACATCTCGCTTTGAGGACAGACACAATAATTGGATCAACGGGATATTCAGCTCCCCTTACCTCCATGCGAATCGCCGAGATCTCCCGTTCCTCCTGTGTTCGCAAGAACGCGACGAAGCGGGATCGAAGCTCGGCAAGAGGACCAGTGGCATCCACTCGATACCTCTCACAGAGCTTCGTAAGGTTCTCCTTACTGAGGTTGTAGACCCAGCCAATTGTCGGAGCCATGAGAGAGAGAAGAAGAAAAATCCAAAAACAAATAAATAATTAATTAATTCCACCAAACCGCAACACCCAGTGATCTAAAACAAGGCCCATCCAACGCCCCACCTGACAAACTTGCCCCTTAGCACGCTCAAATACAAACAAGCGCTAGCACCGGCAAGGTCGGCAGGCCACAACAGAACCTGTCTGGGCCACACGGTGTCCTAATTGCGCGTTCACCACAACACACTTAGGACCCACAGAACCGTCAAAACTGTTAGAATCCAAAAAAAAAATAAAACTTCCGCAAACCAAATTTCCATTCACCAAATTTCCGAAACCACGCTCTGCTATCATTGTACCCCCCCGAGAAAGGAGATTGCCAGATTACGTTACTGAGGCCCCCAGGCCGGGAGGTGGTACGGCTTGGGGAGGGTAAAGCGGTGAAAGCAAAAGGAAAACCAAAAAAAAACCAAATGAAACTAATTCGAATAATCGAAGGGTATTATTTAATGAAAAATATTTAAATATAAAGATAAACAGAACAAAGACACCTTTCAGGGCTCAAACTCCGGCTGGGTATACGCAGCAGTTATACTGCTGTGACTCAGTTGCCAGAGCCTTTTAGTTGGAACAGGTTGCACCATGAGTAGACAAAGGTTGGGAACTGGATAGGAGAGGCTATAAGAGGCGCAGCAGTTTATAACACTTATAAAAACAATCTCATAATAATAAAAATTTAATCTGAACTCTCAGAATGGGAACATATTTCTGGAGGTCTCTTTCACCATTACAATTTATTATTTACATGAACACAATAATAAAAGAATGGAGACAGCCTAGACATGGAAATATTCCAACAAACCAAACCTTTACTATGGGCAAAATGCTGTTTGCAGATGACCAGGTACTCATAGCTAAATCAGAATCAGATTTACAATATTCAGTGCGCAATTTAAATAAAATAGCTACAATATATTCTTTGGAAATAAACATAGGAAAAGCGAAAGTTATGGCTTTCAAAGGAAAGGAGCAAAATCTGTATTAATAATAAAACCCTAGAACAAGTAAATACTTTCAATTATTCGGGATATCACCTGTCCTATGAGGAGGAAAATGATCTTACTGTCAAAATCGCAAACCTTTTGAAAATAAAAGGCATCACAAACCAAATTTTCCAACCAAAACTAGTATCAAAATATAACAGAATTCTCACTTATAATAGTGAATCATGGACTATTCGTTGTACTGATAGAAAATTGTTTCATAAGAACTTCAGGTTACACACTTCTGATCACAAAAGAAATGAAGAACTTATGGACATTACGGAAAAAAACTAAACTTCACACCAATAGCAGATTTTATAACATAGTACCGGAAAAACTAGAAAGAACATGTACGCAGAACGATTTCAGGCACGA